CATGGGCTACTATAAAAACAAGTTCTGCACAGTAGGCAAATTTAAAATAAGTTTTAATTAACATTTAAGACACAGAAGTCTGATCATGCAAATTCATCTGCGTCTCCTCTCTCCAAGCCTGATTGTTCCTGATTGAATATGATAAAAATAGGCTTTATATGAGTCAAGTGTGGGCATGGATCTCCCTTTACTTCCTCCTCCTCTCTGATTAAGCATTTACGCAGATAAAGTGGAAACCCTTGGACAGCGATTAATTGTATCCTGGGTTGAGCTGCAGAAGGGCATCCTGCCTGGCAGGCAGTTACAGATTTCACTGCTGTCTTTCAGCACATAAAACAAAACAGTGGGAAAAGTCCACCATTTCAGTGGCTTCTATATATCAAGCCCACCGAAGACTACCCAGCAGTGCCCTGTCAGATCCCAGCTCTAATCTCAGAAGCACGATGCTCATCGATTTGCAGGTCCCAGCAACTCTTGTTAATTTTTGAGATTAGATCTGATGTATCTAAGAGGAGGATCTAGTCAGGGGTCTTAAAGAGCTATGCAAGTACATTTCAACTGCAGCGATTCCAATCCTTATGGCTGCTGCGTAAGCATGGATAAGAAATATTTGGACTAACTGGGGGATTACCCATATACTTAAAAAGTGTCAGAGAATACGGCCCACTTATGGACAAGAAGGAGGTTGAACATTATACAGAATCGAATGTCTGACTCTTCTGCGACTATCCTTGAATCAGTTTCCTAATAAAACTCCCTAGTGGACTTTTTGACTTATTTCACTTGACAGCAATTTAAACCAGCTGCGGATGTGGCTCACTGCTTCCAAGAGACAGGTCCCCAACCCAAGCACCACTGCTAGACTTGGCTCTAACTGTCAATTTTGAAGGCACTTCAGGTAGAAAAGGCATAGACAGGACATGGAGAGGGGGACGCTACAGGACAGAGCTAATGCACACTGCTCGGGCAATGCAGAAGAAGTGCATGACTATTGCCGGTGCTGTACCCCTTGCTCTTTTGAGGACAGATGACTTGAATGCCTAGAAGAGTGGTTTTCAAACTTTTTTCATTTGTGGACCCCTTAAAAAGTTCCAGTGGAGGTGTGGACCCCTTGGATTGTAAGTGTGGCTCTTCACATACTTTTCACTGATCATGGTCATCTTTCACAGACCTCTCAGACATAGTCTGTGGACCCCAGGAGTTTCTGGACCACCGTCCTAAAGCCCAATGATGAGCGTTCAAATCCCATAAAGAACCTATGAAAAAAAGCAGGGGTTCCTAATGTCCCTAAGTTGGCAGGAAGGTTTTTGGTGGGTCACAGCTCTGTACTAAACAGGACATGGTTGAGTATCTATCAACCGGTATCTCAGTGTTTACAGGGTACTGCATAGTTTCAGTCTCCTGGTGGCTGACATCCGACATGTTGCTTCCCCATCGCTCCCAGTAACTGAAAAATCCAGGCTCTTACCTAGGGATGGCAAATCCTGCTCTTGCAGGGCTTCACAAGAGAAAGCAGAGGTCTTTTCTTCATATTATAGAGGTGCCTCCTTCTCCTTGGCCTCCCAGGTGATATACTAAGGGACAGGATAAATACACTGCCCTGCTTTCCTTCCAGAAACCAATCACTCCTGGTTTTTTTCATAGCATTTTCATTTATAGGTTCCAGGAGCTCTTGCCTGACTTTATGGCTTCCCTTTCTTTCCTCATCTAGCACAAAGCTTTTATGACAAGAACCGCCTGATATTTTTTTGGGTGCTCTTTAACCAATACCTTTTCCAAGCATAATAGAGGCCAGACACTTACTTCGATGTGTGAGACTGGCACTCATTAATCTGTCCTTTGCACCTGCGCCTTTATTTGCTGTATAATTACAAGCAAACTATTTGCCCCAGTTGCACAGATGACCCCTGTTTCCGACTGCGACCCTGGTTGTTTTGTTTCTTCTTCTGTCCAGTTGTTAAATTTTACATAGTCGCATTAATTCCTGTGGCTGCACACACGAGCTGTGACACCAGCATGTTCCAGTGTCCTCCTGGGCTACATTTATATCCAGAAACTATTAAGTTTAAAACCACCCAGTTTGAATGACAGGTAATTTGGGAACACTATAGGGTGTACTTTTGTGTATTTCTGTGCTGAATATAGTTCCTGATTTCGCCTCATCTGGCAACGTGCCAAGAGCAAACCGCTATTGCAGTTGTTCTGCCGATTTTGTTTCTCGACTGAATTTCAGCACAGAAGTATTTTAAATAACAATATGCTTCGATCCCTCAAAAACAGACCCTAGTCTTAAGAAACATGGGATGCTTCTTTACCTTCAGAAGCGATTTAGATTTATTGGAAGATTTTTTTTTTTTCATTTTTTTTTTTTTTTTAAATACACTTCAGAGTCATTGAGGGGAACAAGGAAATGCAGTTCAGGTTTAAGATGAATGAACAGACTGATAATGTTCCTGTGCCTATCACAGGAAATGATGCTACTCTGTTTTTGGAGCCGCTTGTACAGGGCTTCTGACAGTATCTGAGAGTATATAGAAAATCATCTTTCCTAAAGCACCACAAGGCAATATCATTGTAAAATGGCTTCGGGTTTGAAATAGGTATAGTCCCCCTTAATACCGGAGAAGGCTCTTTTGGCCCTCACAAAACTCTGTTTAGAGACTGGAATTAGGGAAATAATGGTCCCTATCATTCCTG